GACCAGAAAAAGGGTACTGCAGCACTCTGAAAGAGTTTACTGTTAATTTTCTTCCAGCACTCCCCAGTAGGACCTATGGCCTCTTACCAGGAGGACACCACTGTTTAGAAGGGAGGACATTTACCTCTCAGGGACACTGAGGACTGGCCCTGCATGAGTGCTAACTGTGAGACCCTAAATGCTATGGTAGCCCATCAGGCAGAGCAGGGGCTTAGGAATATTCCATAATCAACAGATGTCTGCTTTAAATGCATCTTGCAGTGGGCCTGGTAGGTGCCCACACTTGTTTTTAAGGGTCTTTTTCTCAGTCCCTAAGAGCATAATTAGGACATATACGCAGAGTAGCTGACAGATTACCCATACTGGTTTTCTGACTTGCTGAGTGAAGGCTGTCATGGTGCCCAGAAGCCACAAGTGTGTCAGGCACTGGACCAGAAAACTAAAATTGCAGCACCCTGGGGAGATTTCAGAGCTTTCTGCAGCCATCAGGATATGAAAAGATGCAGAGGTGATGATTTTTACCACATCCTTATGTAATTTGCCTATTTTATTCGTGCAGAAATAGATGGATCTTTGAACAAACCGTGGATTGTCTTGAGTTTTAGTAGCCGAGGACCCCTATTTTACCGTGGTGCATGTGTGGTTTCACTGCTTCAGCACATGAGCACGTGCCCTGGTACCTGACGGGCAGGTGTTGCTCTGACCAATGATTACTTTTCTTAATGCCCATGAGTGAAGATTACTGGCAGCAGTTTGCTTTCAGCTGAAAAGGTATTAGTGTGCCTTTGCTGTCCTACCTGAAGGATGCATCACAATTTAATTCACAGAGAGCTTGGTCGCCTTTCACAAGATATCACACTGGCGCAATGCCCTGACAGTACTGTCCCTCAGTACAATGACCTGTTGAAGTGGACACCATTTAGTCTCCTCCAACTACTCCTGGAAATCACCTGAGGCTTTTATAGACACAGTGCCTATGATGTCTGTGCATACTTTGGAAACATTACAGTTGTACTGTAATGTACTCTACAGTACATTGTAATGTACTATACAGGTGTACTCTACAGTGATAGAGTCATTGGTGGGATCAGCAAGATGAACATTCACACACCAAAGCATCCTGGTCACTGTGAGCCATCCCTGGTGCCTGATCTGTCAACAGCAGAATCCTATATGAGTTTGCTGTACATGGCATCATTGTGGGGACCATATATTATGATCCTTCTATCTGCTGGGAAGTGGGTTACGCTAGACTCTTCCATCATGTGTGATTCTTAGTAGAATTTAAACTGTTGAGATAGCTGTCCTTAAGTGCTTCTTGCCTACAATCACCCTTGGGTGTATTCACACTTTATCCTCCGCAGTCTGCTTGGTACATCCCAAAGTGGAACTGGTCCTCTCCACACAGTGAGGGTGCCCACACCTCAGTCCCCCCTCATGCTGGGACTGGATTACAAGTGCACAGGCTGGGACCTGAAAGCTAACTGCAGAGTTTAGTCCAAGTTAAAAAGCAAAGGTGGGCAAGGCCAATGTCCCTGCTTAGTCAAGCAGAGAGGGAGGATTGTGCTTTTATAAAAAGTTATATCCAAGAATTAAGTTACAGGACATGGCCTGCTGCACTGAGAGTCACCCTCTGCTTTCTCCATCCTCCACCTTGGTGGTTGCTTTTATCCAGAAATACTCACAGCCAACACCAGAAAAGCATCTAACCAATTCTCTGTGCAACTTGCTGCCCAGTCAAATCGGCATGTAAAATTCATTTACACACAAATTCAGTTTATTTTGACGCAAGATAGTGTTACTGATTTATGAGGTCTTCTCATCTGCACATTTGTAGGAAGGATATTTTTATTTCATTATATTAATCTCTAAAAATTTCTTTTTTAAGTTTTCTGTAACTGTGCATTAGGCAAGTACGTATCTTAAAAATATATACAGAATTAACACTGTTTAAAACTATCTCTTGTAGCTAGTGTTTTTGAAGTCATTGTTAAACTGCTATTGGACATTTTATTTGTTCTTGATATATCATGTACATTCACTATAATCATGTTAGAGTTTTAAAAAGACTGCCCTTCAATTTGCATTTTTATTTTGAAGCTTTATGAGATTTTCATTTACAGCATATTTTAAAACAGTAATTCATCAATGCATTTTGCTCTAAATTTTCTGTAAAGGTTCTATGTATCATATCTGGAGACTGTCCATGAAATTTCAATATCTGAAAGTTTATTAGTCTTTTTCTCTTTATGTTGAATAAATTCTCCAGTGGTATTGTACAGAAAATTTATTTTTCTTTGTTATCATTGTAGACATTTTAGAATATTCTGCATCCACTTTTAGTCTGCTATTTGCTTCTTTTATGTTTTGGAGTCTGCACTTTATTTTTTTTTAAACATCTCTGAGAATTTAATTTCATTTACATAATTTCATTTACATCAGTGACCATATCCTGACCCTCCAAGTGTTTGACTGTTTTCTGTGATATTAATTTTCCTCATGTGCTGCTAATTTTACTCCTGATGATATTTCATCCATCTCTATGTCTACTTGTGTTGTCTGTCTGGCAGTTTTGTGGTTATGATAACTGCTTGCTTTGAAGTTGACGGGGGAATATCAAGGTTAGACAATGTTCTGCCAGGTCAGACCCTGGGATTTTAGAGGACCAGGACTGTCTCTCAGCCCTGTGTGCTTAGACTTTTACCACCTAGAAACCAAGCTGCACTAGTGGCCCCAGACTTGAGAACAGGGTCACGCTGTAAGCTTTCCCTGGAGAGAATCCCATGAGCGTAGCTGGTCATGGCTCTCCAGTGCTGGTCTCTGCGTGCATCTCTGGAGGACGCTGCCTGCTGTTCTGGTATCAGAATGGGAGTCTGGCTGCCATGGCTTCTGCCAGTAGCTACCACCACGGTCACAGAGCACTATTAGCAAGCACTCATTTTTATTCCAGTGTTACATTCACAACTTGCTTTTATCATGGAATCATGTTTCTTGAATTCCCTAAACACATTTTAAAGTACATTTTAATATTAAGTCCAGATTTTTCTCATTTAAATTATTCCTGTCACATGAATTCTCACTTCCAACTGCTGAGAGAGTTAACATTTGCTATTGTGATGTTGTAAACATTTTACACGCAGGGGTAATGCGCATTATTGATGCAGGGAGTTGAGGTGCAAGGACAGTGGGGAGGCTGAGAAAGCGGGAGCAGTGTGCAGTGAAAATCTGTGGCCTCTGCTGTCCTTGCCAGAGATAGAGATCTGCTGCTTCGGAGACACCGACTTCTAGAATTTAACAAGAACTGGAAGACACAGAAGTGGTGGTAAAATGTCTTTAGCATTTTAAGGAAATGGGAAGAACAACTCGCTAATTTCTCATTGACAACAGAACAAAAGAGTGGTGTTTCATACGCAAGCACACTTGTTGTTAGTGTCAGTTAAGGTGAAATATAACTGTAGGACAAACCATATTCTGTAATAAATTTTATAATTTATACATAAGCATTATTTAAAGAAAAATAATCACCACAGTATGAATATGTCTACATGAGATTTTTGGTAAGAGAAAAATATATGGAAGAAACTCACAGAGTAGTTCATCTTAAATGTAATCTCACAGGACATTGCTAAATTTAGTCACTGGAGTAGAAGCAGAACTGAGGGCAAGGGAGGGGAATGGCAAATTCCAGTTTAGGAACCATGTTACAGCAGACCAGATGCACTAGGATGTGGGCCCACTCCCACATACTTACCAAGAAAGCCACCGGCACCCATAGGGAAAAGGGTCTGGGTATGCAGTGGAGCATGTTCAAGAGACTCTGTGGACAGAAAACCAACTGGCAGGGTCGTTCACAGAGCTATGATGGTTTATTTTGAGAGGTAGACAATTTTGAAAAAACTGAAATAATTATTTACATAGCTTATTTTGTTATTTGTTAAATAAGTATGAAGTAAGTTGAGATCAATGCATCCACAATGTTCATTCCAATACTACCACAAAAATGTAAAGGTGGTAATATAATTTTAGGTCTCCTTTTCTTAAAGACCAAACTTAATCATGTATACTGGAGAGCTGTTTAGATTACTAGGCTAATCCTAGACTTAGTGGATGAGTATTTCTGTAAAACCCAGGTTTCTGCATTTTGATGAGATTATTTAGGAAAATTTTGCAATGCTGTGGCCCACGTGGCTCTGGAGGTTCTTGGGGTGAAGGACAGTGAGAGGATGAGAAAAAGAAGAGACAAAGCTGGGGTCAGGGGAGCCCTTACTCCCCTGATGGGAGAGCAGGAGCTGCTCTATCACTGCGGCACATTACTTATACACTCAGGAGGAAGATGTCAGTTTCAACCCCACTGCCCAGCATCTGTCTGCCTGGCTGGCCAGGCCTCCTTGCCTTCCTGGAGCTGGAACAGCTGGTTTATGTTACTCACTCTGGGCTCGCTGTGTTTTCAGGGCGGGCCTTGAGTTAGCCCCACATGTGTGGTTAATCTCCAGCTTCAGTGGCTCCCTATAGCACAGATTGAGAACTGTTACTAAGAGTTCACTTGCACATAGTAGAACGGATATGGAGGAATTAGATTTAAAGACGTGTTTTGATGCCATTTTAGTTAATTTAAATTAGGAAGTATAAGAGTAGGGAATGTGCAAAGAAAGGATTAGAAATTGCTACATATTTTATCCAAGAACATTTAGTTTATTAAGTTATATTCATATATATAAAAGCTGTCTTCTGTAAATCGTATTTTATCTCCTTATTTTGCCTAATTGAAGAGCCATATTTAAAAGCTAATCATTTCCTTTTCAAGCATGATACTGGAGTATGAATTGCTTGAGAAACTGAAATTAAAAACTGAACCACATTGCTTGAGAAACTGAGGAAATCCCACTGTAACATATTAGACTGTACATAGCTCACGTGTCGGGAGCGCCATGGATGCATTGGAACTGAGCTTCTTCGTGACCGCACTTGGCAGTCAAACCCTCGCCCACGAGTCAGGAGTCTTTTGCTTAATGTGTGGAGCCTTTGCTCAGTAAGTCATTCTATTGCAGAATGCTTGAGTCTACAAATTCCCCTCAGAGTAGAAATGGGAGCAATTATCAGAGTCTAAAACCTATAGTCACATTTGGCCTATGTCCCAAAACTGCTTTCATGTATGTGACAAAGCAGGGTAAAATATGAGAAAAGAAAACACACAACAGAGCTCTTCATTGACAGATTTTTTACAGTGTAATAATGATCCATGTGAAAATACTTTGTCCAGATGGCAGCAGAAGTTTGGGGGAAGTTTACTCTTCAACACTACATTGAGTAAACAACTTTAGAGGCCAGTGGAAATGCCTTGAAAAGCACCTTGCTCCCATGGGGGAGACACTGCGACTGGATGACTGGAATGACATGCAGTGTCTGCCCGGAAACCCACTGAGAAAGGGGCATGGAGGTTCCTTCTGGAGAGCAGCAGGAGGGCTGCAGAACTCGGGAGCACACGCACCTTGGCACTGCCTGGACCCAGAGGCCAGCACATTTGCCCCAGACATTTTACATGCTAAGGATTCTGCTTTCTTGGCATTCTTCTGGGAAGGCCTGAAACTCTCCAGGTTATTCTGGCTTTTACCTTCTGCCACCAGCAAGTGACTACAATCCAGGACGCTCCTACAGTACCTTAGTGGAATAAGCCAGGTCAGGATTTAGTCAGGGAAGATACGAAGGTCAGCACCTCTGAGCCCCCACCTCAGTGTGTTCCTGGAAAGTCCAGCCACGCCCAGTGCTGCAGGCCTGGGGAGGAAGTGTGGGTGTGAAAGCAGCCTTGACTCTGTACCTTTATGCACAATGGGAGCATAAAAAATAAGTACAGTAATGTAATTAGGAAGCTAGGAACAGGCACCAAAATCCAGTACAATTACACCATCATTTAACTTGAAGTTGCACTTGAAGAAAATTAGTGGAACCATTTTAAAAACATTAGCTACAGTGTTTTTGGTTGAAGTGTTCATATAATAGTTACAGAGTTAAAACCATGTAAATGTTTCACAATAGAGGATTTACTCAATCTGATAATGCTAAGGTAGAATATTTTGCAATGACTACAAGTGAACATACAAGAAGCAGTACTTAACATTTTATTTACAGTGTAAAATACTTACACGTCAGTGTGCAGAGTAAGATCTTTTCTTCTTATATTATTTCATAGAATCATGGATTCTTATGTTCTTTTTGCTTATAAATATTAACCTTATACTTTTATAATACTGTTTCATATCATTGCAATGAATTATTTTTACATTAATATGAGTCTACTTTTGGCATTTGTTTCCACAATGGCATATTTTCATTAAAGTGATTCCCTGTAATCAAGCCTGCTTTCCTGCAAGTGATATGATTTTAGTCGACTGTGAATGTATTCCACATCTTCTGTGCCCACCCTCTGAAGGTAAATGCCTACTCTAATTCCCCCTACTGTATGTTACAAATGGTGCTGCCTTAAACAGGGGCACAGAGGTTTTTCTGTGCATTATCTTCATTTCCTTCAAATGTACGACCACAGTGTCATTCCTGGGTCACATGGAAGTTTTACCGTTAGTCTTTTAAGGAGTTTCTATGCTGTGTTCCATTGTGCTTTACTGATGTACATTCCCAACAGCAGTGTAGAAGATTTCTTTTATCTCCATGTTCTCAGCAGGGTTTGTTATTTTTGTTTATTTTTTGACAGCCTTTCTGATGAGGGTGGGACAGAATCTCAATGTAGTTTTGCTTTGTTTTTCCCAAATGGCTAATGATATGAATACTTTTCATGTATTTATTAGTTATTTTTTTTTTCTTTTGAGATGCATTCTTAGATCATTTGTCTATTTTGACTGGATCATTTGTTCTTTCAAGTTGGGCTTTTTGAACATTTTATATATTATAGATTTCAGTCCGCTCTCAGGGAAGTAGCTTCCCAAAGACTTTGTCCTTTCTGTAGGCTGTCTCTTCACTCTATTGATTGTTTTCTTTGCTCTTCAGAGGCTTTTTAGTTTGAAAAATCCCATTCATCAATTCTTGCTTTTCTTTCCTGAGCTGTTGGATGTCTATTCAGGATATTGTTCTTCATGTCAAAATCTTGAAGGATTTCTCTCGTGTTTTCCTCTGGTAATTTCAAAGATTCAGGTCTTCCATTGAAGGTTTTGAATCATTTTGAGTTGATTTTTGTACAGGGAGAGAGAGAAGAGTTCTAATTTCAATCTTTAATAGCATATTATTTTGAAGAGGCTGTATTTTCTCCAAGGTATGCTTTTGATTCCTTTGTCAATGACAATCTGGAGGTGAATGCATGGATTGCTTTGTGGGTCCTCTATTCTCTTTGAGAGTTTGGCTGACTGTATGTTTTACACCAGTGCCAAGTTGCTTTTGTCATTGTGTCTCTCCAGGGTGTTGTACAACAGGCATAGGATACCTTCAACGTTGCTCTTGCTGCTCAAAATTGCCTTGACTATTTAGGATCTTTTGAATTTCATTCTTAGAATTTATTTTTCTAGAACCATAAAGAATGTCATTGATAGCATGGCAATTTTATTAAAATTAATCCTCCTAATGCATACACATGGAAGTAAAACTGTTATTTGGCTTTCCATTTCTGTGTCAAAATATCTGAGAAAACAACTGAAAGGAGAAGTGATTTGAGTTTGTGATTTCAAGGGCTTCAGTCCATGTCACATGATCCCATTGCTTTCTACCCCCATGGTGAGGTGGAACATCAAGGTGAGGAGTACATAGCAGAGGAACCCAGAGAGGAAAAGACCGACCGACAGACAGACAGACAGACAGACAGGAGAGACAGAGAGAGACAGAGAGACAGACGAGGGGACAGACAGAGTGAGACAGGGACAGCGACAGATAGTCAAAGAGACAGAGGGACAGAGATAATCAGAGAGACAGAGACAGAGAGAGAGAGGGAGGGAGAGAAGTTTGAGGTAATACCATTCATCAATTCTTGCTTTTCTTTTCTGAGCTGTTGGATGTCTAGTCTGGAAATTGTTCTTCATGTCAAAATCTTGAGAATTTCTCTCATGTATTCCTCTGATGAGAGAGAGAGAGAGAGAGAGAGAGAGAGAGAGAGAGAGAGAGAGAGAGACTCAAGTCCTGCACACCAATTTGATAAACTGTGCCCTTCTAAGCCTTGCTGACCCTCACCTACCTCCTCCAGCTCACCCCAAGCTCCTGGAATAGGCATCTGCAGCTGGCACCAAGCGTCCGTGTTACCATGGAACGGGAAGGTGGAGTCCAGGTTTTCCGTGTGATGAGCAATGAATCACCAAGCGTACACCTGGCGGCAAGACCCAGGGTGCTGCACGTACTGAAGGTGATGGGAGCGACGCTCAGGGCAAGACTGCTGATAAAAGATGTGACGCAGACAGAGAAATAGTGCCGGGGTGACAGAAAAGCAAAGCACCTTGCACAGGCTGTGGCACCCAGCCGCAGCAGCAGCCCTGACAAATGGGGATTTCAGGGTTTAAAGGGTCTGCACCTCAGCCCAGGTGCTTCCCTAAACTCTAGGCGGACCGGCAGGGATGATGTCAGGACGCTGCGCTACGTCAGGGGCTCTCAACCCACTTGCTTGTCCCCGAGTCCGCTCTGACCTAGTGACAGGCATGGCCTGGGGAGCAGGCTTGCAGACTCCAGATGAGTGTGGAGCAGGTGAGGAGCAGCAGGTCAGGCAGGAGCTCTAGCACCGCGTTCTCACCGGGAGGAGGGAGGCGCCTGGGTGCTATTTCACTGTCTGTCTCTGAGGAAGCTGGAGGAGGAGTGGCCCAGGGGGCTGTTCAGAGGGGAGCGACCTCCTCAGCGCTGCTGATTCACTGCGTGTGCCTTGGGGACCTTTAAACTATAAATCATAAAAACCCTTTGTGATAAAGGAAAATCCCCACATAAACAAGCTTATAAGAAAAAGAAAATTAAAAAAAAAAAAAAAAAACCCGCAATTCTCAATGAGTTTTGAAGGACTTTTAGCTTGTATGTTGTTTATAAACCTTTGTCATAAATATACATTATTGTTATTGTATAGAGGAAAATTAGCTAAAGACGTAAACAGGTGCAGCTTCTGTGGTCGTTTTGCTCTGGGAAGCATGTGACTGTGTCTGTTTTCTGAGGTTCCCCACAGCAGAGGCCAACTGTGAACACTCGCCCCTTTCCTAGCTTTCATTCTCTGTCTGTGGAATAAGAGTTTTCACGGATCCGGGCTCATTACACGTTACTAATCTCCATAGAGCATCGTTTTCTTCATTATATATTTATCTGGACGCTGCTACAACGGCTTAGAGCCAGTCTGCAGCCCATGATTTTTCATGAAGTCAGAATAGAATTAGCCCCAAGCTATGCACTGCAGCACCGCTTTGCTTGTAATGATATAATATCTGCCTCAGTAAACACAAACACAAGCCAAGCTGATGGAAAAAGGCAGAATTCTGTCCAATCCCTCTGTGGCATCGTGCTGCAACCTTCTGTGAAGAAATATCGACCAAGAGAAAGGAATCCTGAGCCTTGAAGTCACCCCCAGCAGAGCTGTTCCTCAGCTCAATCTCTTACACATCTAAACAAACTAGGAAAACAGAGTCAAACATTTAAAAAAAGAAAATCTGGAGTCAGGGGACTTGCCTGTGCTGAGAAAACACCCCTCGTTCTCAATCAATACTCTCTGAGATGAGATGGTTTCCTATGCAGACACCTGAGTTAAATTTGATGAGGCAGAGCAGGGAAAGTGAGTGCACAAGCGGTTTCAGGAACTTGCACCAGCAACTCTGACATTCCATTCTAGTTACTTTATCTGGGCACCAGTGGCACGTATCTCACGGCTTAGTCAGAAGCTCCATTAATAATCATCAATGAAGCAATAGCCTTGAATTACGGGTCCATGGGTAGACTAATTGGTGAGTTCAAACATCACTTTAATACTGACCTTACAACCTGTGGTAAATCACAGCTCGAATCTCAATATGCAGAGCAACCAGTGAAATAGAAAGAAGGGAGAATTATGAATACAAAAAAAGAAAACTAAAGGACAGAGGAACTAAAGTTCTTTTTTGCTTTCCTCCTCATTAATTTGACCTGATTTGACCTTTTAAAAGGACTAGGATTTGAAATTTAATATTTAATATAGTTAAAACCCTACAATAAATCTGAGAATATAAAGTTTGTTATCTCACTAAGGTGTTAAATTTGTCAAATTAATATAATATGAAAACTAAATAAATACTCATTAAACTAGAAGCATTTCTGATAAATTATCACTTTCAGCCTAATAACATTTATCTATAGCTCAGAATAGTCACATAATTTCTTAATCTTTTAATACTATGTATTTTATTCTATTCCTATTGTTTTTTCTAAGCTCTCCTGATTTCTCCATTGCTTTATATTTCTGTATGTTTCTCTCTTTATCTTTTATCTATTTTCTATCTTTCAAATCTCCTCTTAACCTTCTAGATCTTAATTACATGTGCACTTGTGTATGTGTGCAAATGTGTGCATGAGTGTGCATCTGTGTGCACACATGTGTGTGCATGTGTGTGCCTGTGTGTGTTTGTGCTGACCCTTGAACAACATCAGCCTAAGGGATGTGACTCCTTCTTCACTATGCAATAAAAACTTATGTTGTTACTTTTGAGTCCCCAAATATTTGATTACCAAGAGCTTGCTGTCTATTGATGGTGTAAACTGTCAAATACTACACATCTTGTATGTTGTATATGTACTGTGTGTGATGAAACAGAATTTTACATGACCTTTCTGGAGAGGGAATCTGCTGGCATGAAATGGTTACAGTTGCAGTGTGTTAAGTGTACACTCAGAACACTGGAGCTCGCTGCAAGAGCAACAGGAAATGGTGACAGAATTTACACTGAGGAAGGTCTCTATAGGGAAATATTTTACAGTTACAGTACACAGAGCATCTTTATGTGCATTTAGATTTTTGTCGACTGTTAACAGTACCAGGTGCCATTTGTAATTGTAAAGGTGCACAAGTTTTGACAATTTTTAAGTTTAAATAACAGATTTATGAATTATATGTATCAAATTACTGCAATGAATGTAATCAGTATGTACTGCAAATAGGTACCAACAGGAATAAAAGTGATAAACTATTCTTTGTGCCTACTTGATGCACTCATGTCATAGTAATTTCTTTGTCATTTTTATATTTTCACTTTATTTGCAAAATTTACCAAATAACTGAAAATTTAAAAATAGGTCTATATAATCTGTGCAGCATAAATTCAAATTCATGTTGTTTAAGATCAACTATGTATACATTCTAAATTTTAAATACTAAATTTTAAAACCTACACAAAACTCCTAAAGAGATCATATTTCAATTGCATTGATTATATGTCCCTGCTCAGTGCTTGTATAGGATATTTGAAGAGAAAATGAACGTGCCTTGGAAAAGTAAAACAATGTTTTTTTGTTTGTTTGTTTTGTTTTGTTTTTTGTATTGAACTCATGACCTCATGCTCCACAGGCTGGTGCTGTGCTCTGGCCATATGCCTGGCCCCTTTGATATCAGTAAAATCCAAAGTAAGATTATTTACTTTATAGTAATCTGAAAATCATGTGCATTCCATTTTCACATTTTCTTCATGATTTCTGTTATGATTCAATTACATTTTAAGGAAAAAATACAAATTTCCTCAGTTTTATCCTGAATGAGCTGGCCTGAAAAGTCACTTAGAATGCAAGTCCAAAGATTTCTTTTCTTACTTTTTATGCCATGGTGAGTCAACAGAAATATACGTCTTTTAGTTCATATTTTCTGATGTGTTATTGAAAGAGAAAAGTAGTGTTTAGTAACTTTATTAAGAAGACCTTTGATAGAGACCTCATATAATGTGAACATTAATAGGAGGCACAGTGCATTTTCAATGAATTGATTAATTATATCAGTGTAAAGCGATCACAGCCCACTTGGCAGCCAGTGCATGGACAATGATCAGGCAGTGTCTCTGACCTGACACATGCTTGAGCATCCTGTCTGTCTGCCTGCTTCTCTCTCTCTACACACACACACACACATGCACACATACATGCACACACAGATCCACCAGTGTTCAGTCATGGTGACTTTATCTATATCTAACCACCTTTCGCATATTTACTTTTTACAACAGTACCAGCAATTGAACTCAAGGGGACCCTATCGCTGAGTTATATCCCTGGCTCCCCCTCCTTTGTTTGTTGTAACTTGAGACAGAGTCTTGCTAAATTGTTTAGGTATTACTTGAATTTGTGATCTTTCTGCCTCAGCTGCCAAAGAACTTGATTGTGGGTATGCACCACTACACAGAGCTCAATTTAAATTATAAGTGAGTTTAAACTTTAAAATATTTTCATGAAATTTATTAATTTTTTTCTTTTACTTTAAATGCATATTTTGTAAAATAGTTGTGATGATATTCTCCCTCAACTTTGGTGTAGGGAGATTATCTGGAAAAATCTACATTTATCTTTCATTTCAAAAGTAGAGTTTTGCAGGATATATTATTCATGTTTCACAATATTTTTCTTCATCACACTGATTATGTTATCTTATTCTCTCCTGAACTACAAAGTCTCTGTTGAAACATTTGTTGCTAGGAATATTCAGATTTCCGTGTATGTGATATAGTTCTTTTTTCTTCACAACCTCTGGGTACTTTCTTTGTCTCTGATATTTGACAATTTGATTATATGTTGTGGGTTGCTTTAATTCTATTGAATTTTTTGAGAATTTTGCTCTTTGTATATCTAAATATTCACATCATTTTCTATATTTAGAAAACTTGCTATTTTAAAATTGTTTTATATTTTTAATTTTTATTACTAATCTGCATTATACCACAATAATATTCATCTTGGGGAGTTGATATATGTATGCAACATGTTTTAATTCTTTCTGTGCTCCTTCCCTTCCTTAAGTAAGATTTTTACTCTTTTAATATAAGGTTTTATCATTTGTCTACTGCTAATCTGTAAGTCTGGTCTTCAGATGATATGCCATCATCAATCCATAAGTTTTCTTCATTCCTTATCATGTTTTTTCTCTTCTGAGTATGTTTTCAAATATTTGCATTTGAAGGCACTGATACCTCTGTTTGATCAGAACTACCAGTGGTGTGCTCCATTTCATTATGTTTACTGTATGTTCAGCTCCAAACTCTTCTATGTTTTCTTATTTCAAGCTCTGCTAAATTTGCCATTAAACAACAAAGTTTTTAATTTTTCTTAGTATTTTTTTTATTCTCTGAGCTTCCTTAAGACAGTTAGCTTGAATCCATTTCCACACATGTCCATCTCTTTAGGTGAGTCCCTGGCTCTTTGTGTCTTCATTTGGTCATTTTCCCCCTAATTGCTGATCTTTATGGTTATGCATCACTGTCTGCACATTGAAAAAGTGGCTGTTTATCCCAGGCTTTGCAATTTTGCTCTATTAGTGATGTCTTTGAACAAGAACCTCATCTGAAAGCTTCAGGTCAGACTTGACTTTGTGCCTGTAAACTTGTGACAGCTGGTGTTGTAGTGTCTTGGTTTTCCTGAATCTCAGACCGTTCCACCAGATACTGCAACAGATAGGTGTCACTTAGTTTCCTAGGACAATGTCATGCTACCTTGGAATGCAATGTAGAAGTTGAGTTTTACCTTCTTTGTGGATCATGTTTAGTCCAGAGCAGGTTTATTGGACAAGTGTGATGGGGAGTGTAACTCTAGTCTGTCTCACTGAACCCAAAGGCTTCTGTCTTGCACAGTGGAGTCCCTGCAGACTCAGGTCACAGGTACCTGCATAAAGTTAGATTTGTTTTCTAAGGGTTCACTGAAGTTGTGAAAATATTAGGTTTTAAGGCAACCTCTTGTGCTTCTTTCTTCAGTCACTCTCGGTCTTATACTGTGGCTTTCTACATATTGCTGTTGTTCCATGTTGTATTCGCTAGAG